TTCTTTAAAATGTCTAGAACAGTACAAGTAATGATTGAGTAGAACAATGACAATGATTTTAAAATAGCAAAACAAAGTCACTGGTATAGTCAAACCTGACTTAGTTGTCTTGTTATAGCAATTGACAAAAAAACATCTATTTTTGTTGTCTCTCTGAAAATGTCCCTTTAGCCTACATAAGCCATGTGTAACAATTAACTTCTTCATATTTGGATCAACTGTATCAATTGGATGATGCCTCCTCTTTCAATAAGAGGTTCAAAGATTCATATTCATTGCTTATAATGAGATCTAGCAGGTCAAATTGAATGCCGCATTATTGTCTTTAAAACTGGTAACTTGAAAATTTGTATTTATTTTTAGTTTACTGATTTCACAGTCACTCTCCCTAGTATCCTCCTGTTCATTTTCCAAATTATGTACATTTCCATAAGATTGTGTTTCTTTCATTTTATTCTGAGCAGGTAACAAAAAAGCAGGCCTAATCAGAGTTTGGGGTCAAATACATTTGATCAAATACAAATATGTTCATTTTAGATTCCGAATACAAATTCAAACACAAATATATGTAATCAACATTTTTCAAATACAAATACAAATATTTTTATTTTAGGTTTAGAAAAATCAGTGGCATAGGAAAGGTTTATGCTGCCTGAGACAGAATATGATTTGCACCATAAATTAATTTTCATCGATTTTAGTTTTGATAAATTTTTCTCGCAACTAGCCACACTTACAGCAATTGTGAGAAAAACCTATTGCAGTGTAATAATATCACAAACTGAGTTTTCAATACTGTAATTTAGAATGAGCTGCAAGTGTTCAATTGTACCACCACCAATCTATGCTTTTGTTTTGCCTTGATGATGCAGCAACAGAAATAGAACTTTCAAATCATTTTTTTTCAACTTGGAACTCTTCTTCATTAATGTCATTATGGTCATGACCCATAAAATTGAAAAATTTATTTATCATTCAAAAGATTAAAAAAAATTTAACTATTTTTAATTTAACTATCATTCACAGTAGCAAAACTATTTGCAGTTCCAGGCCTATAGTTTTGCTACTGTGAATGAGATATTAATGCATAATGGAAGATTTAAGTCTAACCTTACATATATATATATATATATAAATATATATATATATATATATATATTTATTTTATAGTATATATATATATATTTTATAGTATATATATATATATATATATATATTTTATAGTATATATATATATATATATATATATATTTTATAGTATATATATATATATATATATATATATATATATATATATATATATATATATATATATATATATATATATATATATATATATATATATATATATTTATTTTATAGTATATATATATATATTTTATAGTATATATATATATATATATATAAATATTTTATAGTATATATATATATATATATATATATTTTATAGTATATATATATATATATATATATATATATATATATATATTTTATAGTATATATATATATATATTTTATAGTATGTATATATATATTTTATAGTATATATATATATATTTTATAGTATATATATATATATATATATATATATATATATATATATATATATATATATATATATATATATATATATATATATATATATATATATATATATATATATATATATAGAGACTCTTGCATGGTTATCGAAAAATTTTACCAAATTAAAATGCATGACTGGAATTATTTCTTTTTTATTACTTGATAGTCTGCCTGCCCCAACCAAACCCTCAGTTGATGTAGCAGCACTCCATTGCGAGTCAGGCTACTTGTCAGTTGATGTAGCAGCACTCCATTGCGAGTCAAGCTATAAAATAGTTGATGTAGCAGCACTCCACGCATGATTTTCATTTTAAAAAATGTAAATAAAAACATTTTATTAAAAAAAATAAAAATAAAAACATAATTTATATTTTTAAAAACATTCAGAATGTTTTATAAACACTCAGAATGTTTTTAAAAACTTTCTGGTCAATTAAATTTGCGTTATTGCTGTTTTTTAAAAAAATGATTAATTTTTAATTAAATTAATGATTTTAACTTTATGACAACACGAAAATGTTGGATGAAAGTCAAAAGTAATTAAAAGTAAGGTATTTGTTGTCAAAAGAATCATTTTTTACTTTCCGTACTCTCAAAGCTAACAATTTATAGAACTATATATACTTATACATACATTTAATATATATAAGTGTATAATATAATATCCGATTAACAAACCTGCATTGTATATAAGTAATATGATTGGTTCTTCAAGCAGTTTGAAGCATAACTACTCATAATAGAAAGAAAAAATGAGCCTTGTTTTATTTCAAATTCACACATATTAGAAAGTTCAGAGTCGGCTGAATGGTTTTCAGATGTGTTTAAACATTCATTCACATTAACTTCAATAAAATCAACACAAGCATTATGTTCTTTGTAAAGAGCTTCTGATGAATACCTCTCAATAGCAATTCTAAATTGAAAACATGTATCTTTTTATATCAATATATGCCATATAAAAATATATATATAAAATATGTACCCTTCTCATTAAATATCAGTGCCTTAGGGTATTTACACTTAACAATCTTTATGTAGAATTTACTAAATTAGTATTTATTTAATTCATTTAAAATTTAATAAAAACTAATTAAACATTACTAGTCATGCCATGCTAAAAATGAAATATACAAGGACTTAAGTAAATGGATTAGTGGTTAAGGTTAAGCTTGGGCAGGTGAAAAAGGCCTATGTGTATAAATTTCAAAATTTTCTTAATGAAATAATCTCCTTTTTCTAAGAAATAAATGCATAAAAACATTTATTACTATTAATTTAATTAAATTCAATAAATATATACAAATAATTATTTACTATTTTAATACTGCTGAGTCATTATCTTGAGTGCAGTAGTGGTAGAGCGCTTGCTTCATAAGCGAGAGGTTCCAAGTTCGATCCCCACCATGTACCTGATAGTACTGCACTCAAATTGTTTCTCCGCACAGCAGCCTTGTTTGTCAAGGCTTGTGTTTCTCAGTTGTAGAGTTGAGAGAGGGTTATCCTTCTAGTCAGCGTGACGTCACTCTGTATCAAGAGTGTTGTTTTAGAACTAACCATTTTGAATTGGGGGAAAACAAACTAAAAAATCAGTTGCGGTTTGTTGAGTTATTTATTTTTTTAAATCCTAAAAGGTTGTTGTGCAGTTGGTTGCACTAAAAAAATAAATAAAAAATAAAAAGTCTTCCTATAAATGAAGTACTTAAAAGAAGCTGGTTGAATACGATAAATTGTGCTGTAGATAGTAGTGCATGTAGCAATGGTTTCCTAAAATTTTGTAATGTATATGTTTGTTTGGCACACGTTATTACTGGTGGGTTACTTTTAATTTGCATCTTAATTTAGTACTGGTAAATAAATATCGAATTATTAGCACTCTTATACCTTAAAAAAAACCAAATGATATGTAAACAGCAATGTAAGGCGTCAATTTGTTTAAACAAAAATCTAAAAGTATGTAAATTTAAAGCAAAATCACCGTAAAAGACTTATATTTTGCAGACATATATTCGCTGTTTCTTTTGATTAACTTTTAAATTAATTGTAGGCAGGGACATTGAGATTGGGGGAGAGGGGCCACTGGGACAGTTTGTCCCGGGTGGCAGATATCCAAGAGGCACCAAATGAAATGTAGGTAGCTAATGAAAAAATAAAAAAAATAAAAGTCCTTTATATATAATATGAGGAAAATTTGAAAAATAAGGGCGCTAATAGGATTGCTGTCCCAAGCGGCGTGACAGCACTCAGCGGCCCTTATTGTAGGACATAAAGTTATTGTTAAATAATATTTTCTTAACTTTGCATATAAGAAAGAATAGTTTGTTTTCCCCCAATTCAATATGGTTACTTTTAATTTTGCGATATAGTTACGTGACTCCAACTGTATGGATAAATACAATTAAGTAGTCTCCTCGTCTGTAGTAGCCTTCTCAGCTTCCCTTCTCTTCTCGGCCTTGGATAGGTGAATTAACATTAAAAAAAAAAATTAGAAAAAAAGTTAGCTGTATTAAAATAGTAAATATTTATGTGTTTCTGCATATACTTTTACTTTATATAATTTTTAATTAACCTACTATGTCTTGTTCAATTAATGAGCAAATACAGTTAATATTTGTTTATATATATATATAACAATTATATATATAACAATTATATATATATAACAATTATACAAAATAAACATTTTCTCAATATTCACAACTATCAAGTTCACATTTTCACAACTACCAGTGATAGAGTCATTTGGGGCAGGATAATGGGGATAATAAGGATACTACTTAATTTTATCCCTATTATAACTATCTACATTTTTAGTTTTATAATTAATTTTGTTTTTTTGTAAAAAAAACCAACTGATCAGACAAATTTTTTTTATATTAATGATGAGTTCATAATGTTCACTTTATGTCAAGATGCATAATGTTCATAAAAAAATTATATAATATTGGTTTGTAATAAAATTTTATCCATATTAGTAAAGACATCTTTAACAGTAAGTTGTTTACCTGTCTAAATATTTTTATAGCGTTTATAGCTGTGTATTTTTATAGCTGTGTTTTAAATACAGCTCATTACAGATAAACCATAAATACTATTCATGGTTAATCTGTAATGTATAATTAAATTGTAGAGAAAACATGACCAAGAATAGACTGAGACAATTACACAAATAAATATCAAAAAAATATTCAAACGTAACATTTTTACTTATCACGTAGTGGTGGGTTTTAAAAAAGCCTTTGGAAATACTATTCCACTACTTTTGATATTCCTTCATGTTTAGTTTTGTAAACATAAAGAAATTTAACCTGTTGGTGCACCTTTGACCAAAATACTTAAAGATGCACCAACAGATATGCACAGAGGGCCAAACAGTAGACATTGCTTAAAAATCAATGTTACCAAAATAAAATCAAGTTTGTTGTTATTAAAAGCTAAATAAATTTCCAGTTCATTAAAAAAATTATTTTAAAAGCATGATTTGTTCACTAGTCTAAATGACATAATTTTGTTGCAAAAGATAGGTAATAGGTATAAATGGTACATAAAAGTCATTTTTGGTTATATATTAGAATAAATGTCACTATATAAGCTCTGCTATTGCGTTAATTGTATGTAGAAACAATCTTAGACTGCAGGTTATGGAAATGTTAACTTCTTAGATTAATGCAAAAAATTTTATTTACATGTAATATATAGTCTTATATATTACATGTAAATAAATAAAACATATATAATAAAACAACTAAAATTTTTCAAAATTTTAGTTGCTTTATTAGGTATAATATATTGATAAATATTGTTTAACTAGGTATAAATAGTGTTTTTTAGCTAATTTTTTAACAGATAAAAAAACTTTTCTCAAAAAGTGGCACTAGTAAACTCATATATTTTTAAATTCCTATAAAAAAGAGGAATAAGATGCTTTTTAACTAAATTGTGGCAACTTAACACTTTTTTTTAAAAAAAAGGTAAAATAATGACCCTACCCCTTTAGTTTAAATTGTTGTAAAATACATTTAAAAAAGTTAATCCAAATAGTTTTACATTATTTTGCACATATTTTTTGTACAAAGTAATGAACAAAGATTTTTTCAATAAAAGTATGTCTCAAAATTAAAAAAAGAATTAAGACTAATTTTGACCAACACCCCCTTGCCCTTTTTTTCATTAAATTTCTATTTTCAATCAAATTTAATCAGATTAGTTCAATCAATTAAAAAATATTGCAGCATTTATATCTGTTTTAAAATAAACAAATTGTAAGAGTTAAAATCAAAACTGAGGACTCTGTAGTATATATAGAAAAAATAACATTTTTACTTATCACGTAAACTTGTTTATATTTTGAATTGTATTAAATTGTTTTAAGTTTAAATCTTTTGTTTTAAAAGTTATTAGATAATGAATCAACAAAAATATTTATTTCTTTATTTTAATAATAATAAAGCTCACTGAATATGACTTATTTGAAATTTTTATTGCTGAGGAAAATAAACCAAAAACTATTTCTGCAAATATAACAGATTTTATACTGATAATTGCTTACGCACTTGGCACCAATGAATTGACATTTGCACAAAAAACTTTAGTTCAGAACAGCTAGAAAAGATTTTAGCATCTGAAGAAAAACAAACTTAAAAAAATAGGCTATGCTGGCATACACTTTGAGACTGGTAAAAAAAACCTTGCTTGAAAAGTATGTTTTAGATTATTGTAATCATACAATAAAATTTATGTAACTAAATATATTCTTCAATAATAATAACTTTATTTTGTTATTACAATTTTTATTAACTTTTTAGCTGCTTATTATAAAATCTATAAAATTTATAAAATCATTTAGTATGTCTGAAGACATCAATTTATCAGAAAAGAAGGCAAGATAATTTAGCTAAAAAGTGTTTTGATAAAATTGGATGTAAAGAACAACTTCGTTGAACTAAAGAACTATGATATTTTAAATAAGTTTTGTGATCTTGAAAATATTAGTTTAACCAAGTTATTTTGGTTTTTATTGACAAGATCTCAAGATAAATGAGCATCAGATATTGGTTATGATCCTTTTTCTGAAAAAAAACAAGGATAACTCTTTCAATAAATGTTCCAAAAGAAACATGTCAATTTATACAGTTTGTGCTCTTGGTGGGCATTCATATACAAATCAAAAAAAACCTCTTTCAACTGCTGGTTTCATTAAATTGCCTAGCTGTAAACATCTCAGAAAAAAACAATTTGAAGTTACACCAATTATTATGAATTATTTTGAACCTTATTCTGGGGTTTACTTCAGCCTATTTTAGGCTGTTAAACTGACAATACAAAGGATATTGGAGAACATTTTTCAAGATATAAACAGTGATAATAAACTAATGAAAATAAAATTTGGTAGTGGAAGCCATGCAGTATTTAATCAAAAAAATAATGTTAACAGTAGAAATATCATGCTGACAAGGTACTGTCCACTTTCACTTGAAGCGGAGGCAGGTTTGTTAATATGGTTGCAAAAGTCACCAAATGCCCCACTGAATCACAGAGCGCTGAGTCTTCAAATGGCAAAAAAATCAGTCAACGATTGAAGAGAAACTCTTCAATCGTTGACTGTCTTTAATTCTGACATTGAAGAGTTAATAAATAATGGTTTTCTTATGAATAAAGAGCGAAAACAATTTAATGCAAAGGTCATAGTGCAATCATATATAATGGATATGAAAGCAGCGAATCCTTATTTAGGAGTTATAGGTACATATTGTGATCTGTGCACATGCTCAAAAGATCAATGTTTGGATATTGAAAGAATTGAAAATGGTTTTGTAATTAATCAAGACATGAAATATTTAATCAACTTAAACAAAAAGATGATATTTTACTTAAAAAGAAAAACAACTACATTACAAGGGTTGGACAAACCTTCAA